GCCAAATGTGTGCTGGGAAAGGGAGTCTGAAACAGGTGAGGATGAAAATGTTCAACCATTACATTTATGTATTTTGCTGACGCTTTTATCTAAATACATTAACATTTGCCTTTGAGGTATACATTTAATCAGTTCATACATTCTAATTGGAATTAAACAATGAAAATTTGCAAAAGATGGATGCAGACGAATAATTTAAAATAAAAAATAAAAAGCTAATAAATAAATATGTAAATCTACCTAAAATGCTGATCTTGTTTCCCTTTGTCTGTGTTTGTTGACAGCGTTGGCGGCACTTGTGTAGTCCTGACACAAACCTCCCTCTCACCTGTAAGCAACGAGCTGAAATACAGGATAAAACTTTCACTGCCGAGATGGAAGATTTAGTCAGGAGCAACACAAACTAAATCATTACATATTTAGAATTAAAAAATTATAATAATAACACAATTATTGTTTTATTAATTATGTAAAACTGACTTGGTTCAAAAAATATGCAAGCACGTGTTTGAAAAATATCTCCTGCAGAATAAAGACTAATGGATTAAATGCTACATGTTTGAATGGACATTATTAATGCTTCTAAAAGACAATAATCTCTGATGTCAAACTTAATTTCACAAAATTAAAGATTCTCAAAATATATTAAAGTATTGACTACATAAAAAAAAAATCACTTAAAAAAGGTAGTTTTTGCCCCAGAAAAAAAAAGATGTGATTGACATTAGAAATACCCGTGTGTTGATAACATACAGTAGTTAATCCTTTAGTTAAAATCTACCTACATTATATATTTAACTCTTACATATGTCAGCATGATTTTATTGTGTTCACTTGTTTCCTCTTCCAACAACTATGTTTATGTGGTTATATTGTACATTTTGTTTGAAATATACAATTGATAAATTTATATTTTGGTGTTTGAAATCAACACTAATCTTATAGCTACTGAGATGAGATATAGACCATGTGACCATTTGTCTTTGAAGATTATTTGAAGTTTACAAAGTATTATTCACCAAATAAATGTAATTCCATGTTAATTCAGCATGATTCAGTGGCTGGTGTTTCCTTTCACAGCCACCAGAGAGAGCCAGACATCTTTTAGATTAGGACATAATTACACAAACAAATCCAGCAGAAATCTTCAATCTTGAGGATTGTATTCTGTGTACATAAACCTTACAGCACATTAAAAAAAATCATAAAGGTAAGTGTAAATTTTTTAGGTGACCTGTAGGTTTGCATAACTTCCCTGGCATGATTCATAATATTGGGGAAACCGGGGTATGGTTGTTCATTTTGAACATGTTTTGATTTTAATAAAAATTAACTTGATATAGTATTCAAATATTTTTTAAGCTAGATAGGCTACTTCCCATAACTCCACCCAATTTCATTGCAATCATTTTAATAATAATATTTTAATAGAGCTTTATTCATAAGCTTAAATTACTGAAAAAATACATAACATGACCTAACAATGAAACATAATAAATGTGAGTAGATGTGTGTCAGTCACTTGGTGTCCTATTTTGTGCAATCTTTGTGGTTAGAAGTAAATGGGGGAAAATCTGATAGCAAATCAAATTAGTTGATTTTTCTACCTCAAAATTGTTGCTTGTTTGTTTCTATCTTTGTTTCTTTCTTTTCTTTATCACCCTTACGTGTTGGCATGAAACAGAAGTCATACTAGTCTTTTCTTCACAGTCGTGATGTACGAGTGAAACGGCTTATAGAACAAGATAAAACATATATATAGGTTAGAACTTGATTTTGTCAATTTGACTTGATTTTGCTGACAAAAATGAAGATTAACTGCTAAAAATGGCAATATTTAGTAGTTAAAAACCATTTAGTCAGAAGAAACAAAGGCTAGCTGTCATTAGCTAGCAACCAAACGTAACTAATCAGCTAGAAAAATCTGATAGCATATTTTACTACATACTTCATGGCAGTTTGCACTGAACACCAAAGCAGCTTCTAAGATCTTGTATTATTTGAGAATAAAATTACATTTAATTAAGTATTTTGAGTATTTTAAATACAAAATACAGTCTCTGCATTTTTTTTTATAAAATTACAAAATACTCAAAAGAAATTAAATACGTATAAATACTGATCATCTCTGTCCATCAGGCTCATGTTTTGGCCTGATCAGAGTCCATTTGTGAACCCTATTAATATTTGGCCTCACATTATACTCAAACGAACTGGGAGAAATTTTCAACAACTCATGAACTGTTTGAAGCAAGTAACATTGAGTGGAACAACACTGACTCTTCTTCCTGTAAAAGGGTGTCTGCAGGTTGGGTAAAGGTATTTCATGCTAAGATACTTTATCTACAGTATTTGTGCAATTCTTGCTAATTTCCTGACCAGTAATTTGTGATTAAAATGGTTAGGACCATGAAAAGACCACTAAATATTTTGCCATTTTTTGTCTTGACCCTACTTTATGTTTTTTAGCCCAGGAGACATGTCTTACATTAATAAGAAGTGCTGCGTACAAGGCTGGTTACTGGCCTTGTCCATTCTACTAGTGCTTGGACAGGAGTTATAGGCTGACTTTTTGCTGAGAAAGGAAGCTTGAAATAGGCGGATGAAAAATCTCATCCAAATCAGGATTACCTTAATAAACAGCTTTCAGAATTAATTCAGTAGGCCTATTACAGGTTACATTTTGTTTATTAAACCTTGAGGTTTAAGATCTTATCTTAAACCTCGTCATTAAGACGTCACCAGACGCCATGACGTCATTAAGACGTTGTTTTTTGGTCTAAATAAAGTCGGCCCGTCATAGCCTTCATTTAGCCCAAAAATAGACGTTGAAAATTGGGCTTTTTTATTTAGCCCGAGACGCGCATCTGTTTCGGACCACACATAGCACTAATATAGCATAATAAACATAATTAAAGTCTATAGCAAGTGAAGAAATATATTGTAGAAATAGTTTCAAAGTTACGTGTCACTGCACAAACCAGAAATACAAGATTTGTAAGCACCTATACATTCGCAAACTATATAAAAAATAGACATAGGCCTACTTCTGTATGATTTGGCATGGCAGAAATCCAGCAAAAAGCGCTCCCTAGTGGTTTATATCTCGTTGAAAACGAATCGGTTACCTAACGTAACCTCGGTTCTCTCTAGATGAGGGAACGAGTATTGCGTAAGCTAGCTTACGCTACGGGAAAGATGAATCTTTTCTGAGAAATTGAAGCCAAAAAATTATCCTATAATTTTGTATCCATTGTCAACGCAGTTCAGCTGCAGCAGACCATGAGCGGGCTAGCTAGCAGCTCATTGGTTCGCTCACAGAGAACTGCTTAAGCCTATGAGGAGACGCGAATGAACTCTCGGCCAATGAGAGTCTGACATGCTCTCATTGCGTCAGAGCCCGCCGAAACGGGCGTGGTCAGAGAGTATAAATTAGCGTCCCAGGCTGTAAACTCTGGTTTTCATAGAATGAAGCGAGAACGCTAGTAGCACAAGCACGGCCAGGAACGCAATACTCGTTCCCTCATCTAGAGAGAACCGAGGTTACGTTAGGTAACCGATTCGTTCTCTTACGAGAGGTTCTCTCGTATTGCGTAAGCTAGCTTACGCTACGGGAACACCTGGTCAACGCCATGCGTGCTAAGCATCCACTATGAGTCCCAGGGGAGACCCCAGGGAACCCTTATGAGTGGGAATAAATATATGTACATGTGACAAAGGCCAGCAGAGCGGGCCGGAGATTGTGTAGTACATAAGCACATGATAGAGAGAGACAGAGCGAAACCGGTCTGTGTGAATAACTCCCTATAGTGCAGCTCAACCAGAAGAGCTGTAACATACTAGACTGCTAGTAGTTTAGCCTGCAAGGCGGGGACTTCCAGATTGTAAAATCTGACAAAGGTGGAGGGGGAAGCCCATCCCGCTGCCACCCAAATGTCATGAATGGAAATTCCGCTGGACCATGCCCACGATGAGGCCATGCCTCTAGTGGAATGAGCCCTGATGCCCAGAGGGCATGGCAGGTCTTTTGATGCGTATGCGGCTGCAATGGCATCAACTATCCATCTGGATAGAGTCTGTTTCGAGGCGGCCAACCCTTTGGTGCGCCCACCGAACGAAACAAAAAACTGCTCGGATCGTCTGAGCGGAGCAGTGCGAGTAATGTATAATCTCAGGGCCCTGACCGGACACAGGAGATTAGAGTCAGATTCGCTATCGGATGCAGGCAGAGCCGATAGGGAAATAACTTGTGCCCTGAACGGGGTACCAATCGCTTTTGGGACATAACCATGTCTAGGTTTGAGAACGACTAAGGAGTCATTGGGCCCAAACTCGAGACAGGAAGCGCTAGTGGACAGCGCGTGAAGGTCTCCCACACGTTTTACTGACGCGAGCGCGAGCAGAAAAACGGTTTTGAGCGAAAGGTGTTTGAGGTCCACGGTGTTCGAATGGGGGGGCTTTCATAGCTTCGAGAACTATGGAAAGGTCCCAAATCGGCACCGAAGGGGGGCGTGGGGGGTTCATCCTTCTAGCTCCCCAGAGGAAGCGGATGACCAAGCCATCTTTGCCCAGTGACTGGCCGCGCCGGGGTTCAACGAACGCTGCGACGGCTGCCACATACACCTTGAGAGTGGACGGGGACCTGCCCTTGTCCAACATCTCTTGGAGAAAAACTAGCAAGGAAGGGACCTCGCATAACCGTGGGTCCAAATTTCTGTCGGTGCACCATTTAGAGAACACAGACCATTTAGACGCATAGAGCCTTCTAGTAGAAGCCGCTCTAGCCTGCATGATCGTGTTTTACACTCCCTCTGGCAAAGCAACGGGTAGTCGTTGATCACCCACGCATGTAGCGCCCAGCGCTCTGGGTGGGGATGCCAGATCGTGCCGGGAGCTTGGGAGAGGAGATCTGCTCTGACTGGAATGGGCCACGGGGCTGTCTGTGACAGCTGAGTGAGCTCCGGAAACCAAGTCTGACCCTCCCAACGCGGGGCTATGAGGAGCACCGAGTGGCGTGTTTCCCTGATTCTCTGAAGCACCTGTGGTAGCAGAGAAACCGGAGGGAATGCATAAAGCGGGCGGCTGGGCCAGGTCTGGGCTAGCGCGTCCTCGCTCTTTGAGAAAAATATTGGGCAGTGGGCTCTCTTCTGAGGCGAAGAGGTCCACCTCTGCTCTACCGAATATTCGCCACAGCTTTTGGACTGTAAGAGTGTGCAGGGACCATTCCCCGGGGGGAATGGGGTTCCTGGACAGACTGTCTGGACCGTCGTTCAGATGACCGGCACGTGCGTCGCTCTGAGCGAGAGCAGGTGACACTGAGACCAAACTAAAATGCGTTCTGTCAGCTGGAAGAGATTCCTGGATCTGACTCCGCCCTGACGGTTTAGATAGGAGACCACGGCTATATTGTCCGAACGGATCAGCACGTGGTGACCGTGAATGCGCGGAAGAAAGCGCGTGAGCGCGTTCTCGACCGCCAGCATCTCCAAACAGTTTATGTGGAGGAGACTCTCCTGAGCTGACCAGGGGCCGAAGGCCGGTGAGCCCTCGCAGACCGCACCCCAACCCGTGTTGGATGCGTCTGTCGAGATGACTTTTCGGCGAGAAAAGGTCCCCATGGAAACGCCCCGCTGAAACCATTCTGCCACGGTCCATGGCTGCAGAGCTGTGATACAGGTCTGCGTTACCTTTATCAGCTGGCGGCCCGTGGTCCACGCACGGTGAGACACACGGCTCTTCAACCAGAGCTGAAGCAGGCGCATGCGCAGTAACCCCAGCTGGAGCACCGCGGAGGCTGAGGCCATGTAACCCAACGCCTTCTGAAAAGTTTTCAGAGGTGTGAGTCTGTTCATCTGAAAAGATGCGGCGAGACGCTGAACACGGCGCGCGTGCTGTGTTGACAGACGAGCCGTCATCGTGACCGAGTCTAGCTCTATACCCAAGAAGGAGATAGTCTGACTGGGTTGTAGTGCGCTCTTTGTCCAGTTGACAGAGAGGCCCAAAGCTTTCAGATGGTCGAGGAGAACTGTACGATGAGACAGTAGACTCTCTGTGATTGTGCCAAAATCAGCCAGTCGTCCAAATAGTTCAGTATTCGCAGCCCCTGACTCCGCAGGGGGGCGAGCGCCGCATCCATGCACTTAGTGAACGTGCGGGGTGCTAGGGATAGGCCGAACGGAAGGACGGTGTATTGATAAACCTTCGAAGGCGAAACGTAAGAATGGCCTGTGAAGGGGATTTATCTGAATCTGAAAGTAAGCATCTTTCAGATCTAGTGAAATGAACCAGTCCCCCTGGCGCACATGCGCGAGGAGTTTCCTGATAGTGAGCATTTTGAACGGTCTCTTCATGAGAACTTTGTTCAGAAATCTGAGGTCTAAGATTGGTCTGAGGCCGCCGTCTTTCTTTGGAACCAGAAAATAACGGCCGTAAAACCCCGACTCGCTCATAGATAGAGGAACTCTCTCTATAGCCCCTTTGCACAATAGTTTTGCTATCTCTGAACGGAGCAGTGTCACTGCTTCTGGGTTCACAATAGTTTCTAACCGCGCTCGAAAACGTGGAGGGCGGCGGTGAAACTGTAAGCGATAGCCTAGCCTTATTGTGTTTAGCACCCACTGGGAAATTCCCGGAATAGCTTCCCACGCTTTGAAGCGTAACGCTAAGTGGTGAATGGCGACATGGTCCCCGTTGCTGCACATAGCGGGCTGCGCGGGCGCTCATAGTGTTTATGACAGCGGGACTTACTCATAGTGTTTATGACAGCGGGACTTACACTCAGAGAGGAGTTTAAGGGCCGTGTAACAGAGTGAGCAGAGGTGGGACGCGCACACGGGCTCGTGGGCGCGCTTATGCACTAACAGAGGGCGAAACTTTGACGGCGGTCCGGCCGCGGCGGGAGAGCGCCGTCTTTTCCTCAGCTATGCTAGGCAGACTTCGAGTGATCAGGTTTCAGCGTGATCCTAGGCCGAGGCCCCCGGGGAGGCGGCGGTCTGTGGCGGCTGTCAGAGCGAGAACGAGGGCGGCCGCCCTGGCATCGCTGAGAAGTCTGACTGTGCTGAGCTGGGCGCTGGGGTGGGGCTCGTGCAGGAGGCTGGTCACGTGAGCGGCCTGCAGAGGAGCTAGCGCGACGAGGCAGAAAGAGATTCATGGCCTGGGAGGCTTTCTGCACTTCGGAGAAACGGTCAACGATACCCGTGACAGCAGATCCGAAGAGGCCGGATGGAGAGAGCGGGGCGTTGAGAAAGGCGGCGCGCTCAGAATCTCCCATGTCGGCGAGTGTGAGCCACAAATGTCTTTCAGACACACAAATGGCGGCCATGCATTTCCCCAGGGCTTGAGCAGCGGATTTTGTAGCGCGAAGGGCAATGTCCGTGGCGCTCCTCAAATCCGCGACTGAGGGGGGATTTTTTCCGCTTTCGTCCCATTCACGAAGTAAATCACCCTGTAGAATCTGAAGGACGGACATGGAGTGGAGTGCAGAGGCTGCTTGGCCGGCGGCTGAGTAAGCGCGGGCGTGAAAGCTTGAAGTCGCTCTGCAGGCTTTAGAGGGAAGCACAGGTGATGAGCGCCATCTCGTGGAAGGCGGGCATAAATGTGCGGCGACCAGGTCCTCTACAGGGGGAATGGAGAGATAGCCCTTTTCTGCGGCTCCGTCCACAACGCGAAGCGGGGCGGAAGAGTCAGAGCGAGTTCTAGCAGAGACCGGGGCATTCCAGGACTTCGTGAGTTCCGCGTGCAGTTCAGGCAGGAAGGGCGCGGCCCGTTTAGTGACGGGAGTCGAGCGCTGGCGTAAGTAGCTGCCGTCCATACGGTTGATGGTCTGCTCGGGGGGAGGGGACCAATCGAGCCCGAGGCGTTCGACGGCCTGTGAGAGGAGCCGCACTAATTCCTCCTCGATTCCAGCGCGGGTCCCAGAGGATTCTCGGGCCGAGGAGGCGTGAGAACCGGACCATTCCTCACTGTCTGAAGCGAGAAGAGCCCCGCAGGGTCGACAACGGCATGTCCCCGCTCATGGTCTGCTGCAGCTAAACTGCGTTGACAATGGATACAAAATTATAGGATAATTTTTTGGCTTCAATTTCTCAGAAAAGATGAATCTTTCCCGTAGCGTAAGCTAGCTTACGCAATACGAGAGAACCTCTCGTAAGAGAACGCTTGTGCTGCATTTGCCTATACACATAATATTCGACAGTCCACTACACCACTTTGATTCTTCAAAAAAAAAAAGAGATCGTAGAACTAGCCTAATCCATATTAATAGGATAGCCTACCTACGATCGCTTTATATGATGAACATAATGAATTTAGATTTTATTTAACTGTAATGAAAAGCTGTTCTTCCTTTTCAAGCCAAAATATTTTTTTTAAACAAAACCCTTTTTCAAAAGTGATTATTTCAAAAGTCGCAGATTCTTGCAAAAGAAAAAAGGTTTATTCCTATAGAATTCCAATAGATTTACCGTTAAATGTGCACTTTTGACAGCTGGGTTGTTTCCCCCACCCCTCGTCCTTCTTCTCTTCCTCCGGCTCAGATTCAACGACTTGCTAACGCGGGTTGCCAGTTTGAGGAAGGCGAGGAGGCTTAACACACTGTCAATTGATGAGTTGATTTATGATGAGTTGATATCGTGTTTTAATAGGCTCCCGTTAGATTTTTAGATGGGTGCTGCTGAGGCTTTTTAGGTCGTGTAGAATCTGCGATCTCAGACCCAGTTTGTTTGCTGGCTTCCATGGCTGGAACATGCTGTGTTTTCCACCAACTGGCAACCTGTGGTGGCGAAATACTGGCAAAATTGGCAACGTGCCGTATCGCACAGACCAAAACAAAAACAGAAATTCCAACACGGAACGCACATTTCAAAGTAAAATAACTGTATGTAGCATTGTTTTTCAGAGAAACGAGAGTGTGAACTCAGCATGTTTCCTAAATATCTGCAAACATATTATGGTATTGGTATATGCTTTAGTACAGTCAAACACTTGCATGCACCTTTGAGTAACAGTACACTTTTAAGCAGAGCTAATTATATACAAATAACAAATATTTGTATCAGTTCAGGCCCTTGCGAGGTTTTAGACAAATAGTATCAGTTGCATACAAAATCTTAATGTCTCTTTTATCTAAGGCCATAAAACAATTGATTGGCTCTTTATGCAGAATAAAATGTCATGTGATCCAGAAACCACAAGGCAATTCATTCTCGCTCAAACTGCTCATAGTTTGTGAAAAAGTAAGACAGACTATATTCATATTCCCAAGAGAACAAATGTGGCATTAAATGTATATATACAACAAACCAAAAGACTTTTAATGAAGCTTTTTATTAGAATCTAAGTGTATCTGTTGCAGTGATCCTAACTTCAGCAAACATACTGCATGGAAACATTGAGAGAATCATTCTTTAGATGCATTAGAATTGCATCACATACTCCTTGTGCTGCTACATGGGGAAGCACAAATATCGATCATGTCGTTACATGCCATTAATTTCAAACACAAACTCATCATCTGCTTCACCTGGACACACACACATACACACACACGGCTCAGAACATCCCTACTGTACTGCCATTTATTTGGACTTGAGATCATTGTTGTGTACAAACACCCCATCAAAATCTATAAAAAAGAGCTAAGGTAGAGGAATATCTGTCATAAAGAAGGACTGCAGTTTTTTCATCCTTTTCTTTACTGATTGTATATTATGCAGCATAGAAACATAAAATGTTAAACTAAGCTGAAAGTACTAAACTGAAAGCATAATCAAATTAGTCAATATATTTCATAAATGAATATGCAATGATTATGTATGCAATTTTGTGAATGACAGCAGAATTCTGGAAAATCTCTAAGTAGGCCTGACGGCTTCCTTAGACACAAATCAGTGGCTCTGATTACTCAGAAATACCCAGTAAGTAAATAAATGAAAATATACCAAAACAGCAACAAATAATATATTAGTGTCATGTCAAGAGCAGAGGTGTAAAGTCCAGGTTCAGAAAGTAAAAGTCCCCCTCAGTATTTTGTTCCAATCACCTGGATTTACTCATTAGCACAGTTTTTCAGCCAGGAGAACTACTTAGTGAAATCAGCTGGCTGAGTTCATGGGTGGAATAAACATATGGCAGGAATTTTACTTTCTGACCCCTGGACTTTACTCCTCTGTTTCAAAATGTGCCAAACAGCTTTCTGCAGTACTCGAGAATTTGGGGAAGAAACGTACAGATGTTGCAGAATACATTAAGGCTGTGACAAAACACCATTAACACAAGCAAAGTCACAAATACAGACGTCAAGATCTGTGATCAAACTAATGGGAAATAAGCTCATATAAACACTCAAAATTGACCCTTCATTTCAGAGGGAAGCCAATTCAAATGGCTTCAGTAATGGTTGTCTTGGTCCATGGTCAAAGATGAAGACGTAAAGCAAGCAGATTAATGAAGTGCGTACTGCATAGAAGAACACAAGCTTCGTGGACCTTACCAAGATCACTGTGAGAAAAGTATAACACAATTCTAAGTGTCTTTGCACGTGTGTACAGTTCAAGCTTTAACTTTTGGAATCTTCATGCACCATCCTCATGCTATTTTAAGTGATAAGGCCTCACAGAGGGGATCTCACCAGTAATAATACCACATTTTAGCAAAATACCATTCCCAGTCACAGGTGAACATGTTCTTTAAAAACACTACATGCTACAAACTGTGACAGCAGGTGTAAATTCAACTTGCCTATGATATAAATCAACATAAACTAGGAAACAGACTGCTGTATGTGTGATTACTCTGTGATCGACTGCATGAAGTGTTGCAATCAAAAACACATTTGCAAGTGGCCATTGAAAACTTGATTCAGTTATGAGGCAGGATAAGCTGATGCAGATAACCATGTCAGTGACTAAACTAAAGAGTGGCAGTCTGTAGAATGCATGTTCAATTCTGCAAATCTCTCATCAGACACTTTGGGTGATTCTGATGCAGATGAATAGAAACGTGACAGACAGGAAGATGGTTTGCAGCACAGTCAAGCTGCTGTCCTTGAGCATAGCCCTGAGTTACCATGGAGACTACTGAATCTTGGGCTATAGACATAACATCTCTGAAGTCATGTTTGAGATGTTCAAGAAAGTGTCATCAAGTCTCACTTGCTGTTTCTCTGCTGGGAAGGCCAATTGCTCAGCAGGTTTCTGGGTGCAGTCTAAAGCAGGTTTTCATGTGTAGAGCTGTCTGGAGGCATTATAGGATCATACGGCAGACTGGCAGTTCCTCTGTAGGCTCTGATTTGCTCATAAGTGGTGGTGCTATCATTGCCAAAATCATATTGACCTGCTGACTGCCATTCTGCATCTAGCATGGGAGCTAGAAGAGGAGATGGGGGTGCCACCTCCTCAGTCCCATTAACTCCATATCTGTATACCACATGAATATCAGGTTTCGTGCTAGTGGCTGCCTCGACTTCCAACTTTGATTGAGACCAGTCCCCTCCATCATTGCTGTCTGTTGGTAGGCACTTGAGGCTGGAATAGTGTCCAGACTCAGCCATGACTTGTTGGAGCTTCTCCCAGGCAGCCGGCGCATCAACACCTGCTTGAGTGGCCTGGAAAAGCAGATTGGCATGTTGGCGGAGCTGGGCTATGTCTCGTTCGGCGGCGGCATTCTGCCGCAGCAGATCCTGTGTTCTTAAGGTGATGTCAAGTAACCCTGACTGGCTCAGAATCTCCACTGTGTTGAGGAAGCGACGATGCCGTGCTGGCCCTTTGTGGGTGTTTGACCCTTTGCCAGTGTCATTTTTCGGTCCTTGGCAATGCTTATGGGGCTCTTTTCTGGACTGAATAAGGTCGTTGGAAGAGGGTGGGGAAGGAGTCTGAGTGCTTGAGACAGACGGAGAGCTCACACTGAGGGAAGTGGAGGGACTAGATGGGCGGCATGGGCTCCGGTGCTGGTGAGAGGCAGAAAGTGTCTCATGGCCCACAGACTGCGACTGTGAAAGGGATTGAGAGTGCAACAGCAAGTTGTTCTCTGGCTGTTTGTGCAGATGCTGCTTAGTCGCTTGCGTGGTTGTGGACACCTCCTCTCTTTTTTCCTCTGTGCATACTCTCTTACTCAGGCTGTGCTCCTCTGTGTTACTTCCCCTACTGGTTGTAGGTTTCTCTGGGGTTTTCTTATTAGGGTGAGGTGCGATTCGAGGGTAGGAGTTTAGGATGGGGAGGTAAGTGCTTTTCTTTACACCCTTGCTTTCGGATCTTTGTGAGTGGGGTTTGAGGGTGTGCATTGGGGCGCTTTGATTGATGCCAGGCTGTTGTAGCAAGAGAACATGGGTGGCACCCTGATTGCTTGTAGTACGTCCACCCCATGACAGTGATGAAGGGTGGATGTGGTCCTGACCAGACTGTCCTGGCTTGGGAACGAGAAGAAGAGGAGAGACAGAAATATTTCTTGTACAGAGCAATTTCACAATATGAAATATCAAGTAAACCATTTCTTTCGTAGCACATTTTATATGAGAAATGGCATGCCAATATCTTATTTTATATAGTTGTTTTCTTATGTGACTCATTTTTACTGTTATGTTCACAAACACCTAGGACCTTCGGACACCTCTTACCATCTGTTTCAATTTCACGCATCATTCCGTTTTCTTTATAGCTCTTTCTCATCAGTCTTTTCCAACCATCCGCCCAATTCATTTTTCTCTCTGGCTTTGGTACAAAATATAGTGAGCTGCCCTTTCTACTTTCTACATAATGTTTCTGGCTTAGAAAGTAGCTGTCTAAGGGTGTACTCACACTAGGCACGGTTGCCATGAACGGGGCCCGAGTACGATTGTCCCCCCTCCCCACTCCCCCTCTGGCCTGCACTCACATAGGGTTTCAGCATTCGTGCCGGAGCACGCTTACGTCATTATGGTGCGTGCGACGGTTTCGGGATAAACAAGAAGAGCGGCGCTCTCTGAACACAATGGAGTCCATCGCTCTGTTTTTTTTTGTGGATAATTTTGTGTCGTTTGGTCCACGGTGGTCCACAGCCCTCTCACAGCCTGTTGTTAAACAGATGCGTCGCCTTAGTGGCGCGAAAATTTTCACGTAATCGTGCTGCTCGTATGAGGAGGTTTGCAAGGTACCAGCTGAAGTGCAGCAAGGACTTTGCAGCTTTGATTACGGACTGTGTTGGTTTTGGAGCGTCGCAAAACCATGACGTCACGCGTCCTGTTCCGTGCTCCAGCACGGTTAGCGCTCACACTGCATGCGAACCGCGCCCAAATCCAACTGAACCGTGCTCTGGCCCACCTCTTCCAAGCGGGCCAGGGCCGGCTAATCGAGCCGCGCCCGGGCACGGTTCGGAGCACTCACACTAGTCAAACGAACCGCGCTTTGGTGGTCAAACGCACTCGGGCACGGTTCAAACTGGCTAGTCTGAGTACACCCTAAAGCCGACTGTGTTTGACTTTTTGTGTCTGAGCGGTGTCGTGCAAATGAACGCTTGAAAAAAAAAAGGTCCACATGTGTACATACGTCAAATGCCTCCAACTGCCCTTGCGAAAAAGTTTATTCAAGTGTGCCATTAGTATACTTCTTGTAAACTAAAAATAAGAAAGTATACTTTCAGTCTACTTTTTATGTACTTCTCAGAAATATACTTAAAATCGCACTTAATTATACTTGACTTATACAGACAGAAAAGTATCAATCTTTTGATAGAGATATACTTTAAATTATAATTACTATAAATACTGTGTTTACTCTTTTGATTGAGTAGCCTATTAATTATTTTTTTCACAAAGTTTTACATACTGTCTTAAACTTACATTGCTTGAAAATATTGATTTATAAAGAAACCTGATATGTTCCTAATTCTGAGTATCTGAATTTTTGTGTAGGCTAGTCCACTGGTAGTGTACATAGGAATTTACTTCAAATCATATTTTCTCAGCTTTTTGCTTTTTGCACTAGTTCGCCTGCCCATTCAGCCTTAAAGGTTAATTAGTAAACCAACTTGGCTTGCTGTCCTTGGAGGAGGCACAAACCCGAGGCTTGGCTTGGCCGAGTTAACCCCCCCCCATGATTAAATTGCGCATAAGAGGATAAAGATAATTTACTGGAGGAGGAGGGCTGCCGGAAGAATTTGTCAATGAGATGACGTGGTGTCTGCTGCTTATATAGTATGCTCGTAATGATGATTGACAGGACTGAATGTTTAGACTCCTCCCGAACCTACGTTTTGAACTTCATTTAAACTTACCTACATTCAAGTGTTGATAAAAAAGGATGCATGAAACTAGTATTTACATTTTTTAAATGGAAAGAGTTAAAGTACAGTTAAAGGTATATTTCAAGTATAAGAAATGTATAGGCCTATGTATAGGAACATAGAAGTATACTTATAGTTCACTATTTATATATTATTTATGCACTTTAAGTATGATGTTATATTCACTTAAAGAACATTTACAAGTATACTTGGAGTATAAAACTACTAAACTAGTAGTTCAAAGTGTACTTTCATTCACTAAACAAAGTACAAGTATTTAACTAATAAACTATTGTTATACCTATAAGTTCACTTGTATAGTTGCAGTACAAATGAAAAACTTGGTTGTAATCTAGTTGTGTACTCAGTTTACTACTGTTACACTTAAAAGTATACTTTTATACACTTAAAAGTGGGTCAATTAAGTATAAATTAAGTATCCTTCTAGTACATTGATATTAGTATACTTACTATATAAAATATATTTGAACTTGAAGTATACTTGTTTTTCGCAAGGATGAGCTTAATTGAGTATATTTTAAAAAAGCTTCCATGCTAAACTACGTGAGACGGAGCGGAAAACGGAAAATTAAGTATACCTGGGCCATGTCATTGTGATTGTGAGAAACCTCATAAGTGACCAACCTGGAACAATTCACATTGGCAGCAATTCCATTTGTCATAGAAATAGTGCTGCTCAGATGAGGCATATGTTGGCTACATATGTAGGCAGCTCACTATGTTTTGGAACAGAGCCTCTTACTTTTTCCACTCGGATTGTCTCACCTGCTTTAACACCACATTCTTAATGATGAATATGGGGGTGAGTTCAGGGATCCCGGACACCAGTATGTGGCTTCCCTGTAGAGGGCCTTGATCCACCCCACCCAAACCTTTGCGTACCTGAGGCTCATTCACACTGCTCTGCTGGTCATCTGCATCAGTTTGCAAGGAATCTGAGCCAGTGTCTGAGAGAGAAACAGAGAGGAGCAGAGATAGAAGGAAAGGCAACAGGAAGGGTGGGGAACAAAGAAAGAAAAACAAAAGTGAGAGGGGTAGCAGTCTCAGTCTACTAATGACAAATTAAATTAAGTATCACTGATGTTACTTTAGCTTCATTGCATGGTCAGAAGTACATCAACTTCTAATGAACAGGTTTGACTCTTTCAGCTGCACTCATTACTAGTATCATATCAAAAAACATGACAGTCATAAACTGCAACCAGTAAAAGTGTTTACTATTGAACACCTTTGAGATTGACTGGAACGCTGATTTCGATTTTTCTTCACGCAGAGTTAGTGTTTGACCTTCCCGTTGCTTTTGTTTCTGACCGGGAGAAAATACCTGTACATATGGTCCTACATCTATTGCCAGGCCTTTTCAGAAGAGTAGTAGCTGTTATAGGAGCAACTCCCTATTATTGCCCGTGGTTATAAAATCACATGGTTAACAAGCACATAAACAAGGCTGTTACATTTCTGACACACTTGAGGTGTTTGGCCAATCATAAAGCGTAGTATGGGCTTTTCGGAATGAGGGCCTTTGTCTGAAACGCTCAGATTGAGGTCCGGTTTCTACAGACTAAGAATAGAGGTGCTGCAATAATAATAAGAATAAGAATAAGAATAAGAATCACTTTATTCGCCAAATGCATCAGCCGATACACAGGAATTTGATATGGCCATCAGTTACACACAAACATATATGTGTATAGCTGGAAAAAGCATGCCTAAAACAATCAAATCAAATAATAAAATAGTCCAAATAGTGCTAGATCAGCTATTCATAAGGGAAATGGCTCTTGGAAAAAAACTATTAAGATGGCGTGAGGTCCTTGTCCTCACTGCTCTGTACCTTCTTCCTGAAGGAAGCAGCCTAAAAATGTCACTTGCTGGATGGGACTGATCAGCAGCAATTTTAGCTGCCCTCTTCCTGACTCTGGCCTCATATAGGTCGTTAAGTGACAGCTGCCTCTGTCCAGTCAGCCTCTCTGCTGTGCGCACCTATGCCTGGGCTGTTGCCGATGCAAACCAAACAGTAATCGATGCTGAAAGAAGGCTTTCCACAGTGGCCCTGTAAAATCTAGACCGAACAAAGCTGGAAACGTTCAATTTATTTAACTGTCTCAGAAAAAACATTCCACTATGAGCTCTCTTAAGAATGGAGGAACTGTTTTCCTCCCATTTCAAGTCATTTGTGATAACGGTGCCTAAAAATTTAATTGACTCCACCCTCTTCACAACAGAGCTCTTGATAGTTAGAGGTGGAAGGGAGGCGGGTGTTCTGCGAAAATCTATCACCATTTCCACAGTCTTTTGCTGATTAAGCTCCAAGTTGTTCTCATCACACCACGCAACCAATTTAGACACTTCCTGCCTGTAAGCAGACTCGTCATTTCCCTTAATAAGGCCGACTAATGTAGTATCGTCTGCAAATTTAATCAGCTTGATGGAACCATTATTGGAAGTGCAATCATTGGTATACAGTGAGTAGAGAAATGGTGACAGCACGCACCCCTGCGGTGCTCCAATGTTAGTAGTCTGAGGATCAGACATGTGCTGGCCAAGCCGCACATACTGTTGTCTGTCACTAAGAAAATCCATAATCCAGCGGCAGATAGAGGGTCCCACCCCCATCAGTGACAGCTTCTCCCACAGTCGCTCGGGTAGAATGGTGTTAAAGGCTGCACTGAAGTCCAAAAACAACATCCTTACATAGGAGCCAGGAGAGTCAAGATGGTCCAGAGCATAATGCAGTCCTAAATTGACCGCATCATCTACCGAGCGGTTTGCCCTGTAAGCAAACTGCAGTTGATCAAGATAAGGAGCTGTGATAGGTTTAAGATGTGACAGAACCAACCGCTCCAGACATTTCATGACCACTGATGTAAGGGCCACCGGTCTGTAGTCGTTTAGGTCCACAGCTTTGTTTTTCTTCGGCACTGGAATAATGATTGATGACTTAAAACAACTCGGAACCCTGCATAAAACAATTGATTGATTAAAAATGTCCGTAAAAACTGGAGCTAGCTGACTAGCGCAATACTTCAGGGTGGCAGGTGAAATCCCATCAGGGCCACTCGCTTTCCTTACATTTTGTCGGCTAAATAGCCGATACACATCCTTCTCCTCAATGTCAATATCAATGTCAACTTGATCTTGAGGGGCAATGTTCTCCCCCTCTCTAAATGTGACACCCCCGGGAGGGAAAGGATAAGGGGACGGAGATTTCTCAAATCTTGTATAAAAAACATTGAATTCATTGGCCAGTTTAGTAGATGGAGTGACTTTTTTTTTTTTTGTAGCCTGTGAAGTTCTTCAGCGACCTCCAAGCTGAAGAGGAGTCATTAATGCCAAATTGTTTCACTTTGTAGGCCCTCTTTGCTTTCCTAATGGCTTTATTTAACTTTTAAAATAATATACAGCATGTGAAAATAATGTGTCTTTTGAACATTAAAGCATGTTAACCTATTCTCTTACACCAATAAACAAAATAAACTTTTAAAATAGCATCATATGACCCCTTTAATAGCCTTTGGACACTTTGTTGTATGAAAAAGAGTATGGAGGGTGTGGGCTGATGAGAGTGTGTGTCGTGACATGGCCACATATAAACAGAGATATACATTTTGGAATAGGCTATTTTTTTGTATGCACATGTGTTCCTTGTTTTTCTGTATTAATGCTATCAATGTGAGAGATCCCATTTTTTGTACTCACAATATTCAGTAGGACTGGTGATGCTGGGATGTGGCGCTGACAAAATCAAGTGCTTTTGAAGCAGGTTGAACAGCCGGTTAGGGAGTGTATGAGTTAAAGAATTTACAATGACTACAGACTTCCACTCTGTTATTAGATTACGTGATCACGAGTTCACGTAATTAAAAAAAATGTATGAGTATTTGGCGTGCTGCAGAAAACTGTTGAGGAACATAGGTGAATCATGTATATATATAGGCCTCATCTCTTGCTGATTGGCAAGGCAATTTGAACGTGTTCCTCACGAAATTTGTTGATAAAACATCATGAAATATACCTGGAGTGGAATATTTTCTTTTTGGGTTTATTTTCATTACGGATAATTTATCACAAGAGTTCCAATCACCAGAACTTTCACTCACTATTTACCAGGTGAGACTGATTTATTGACAAATTACTATATATAAATATATATATATATATATATATATATATATATATATATATATATTGAATTGAAGAGGACTGAAACCTGGTAGGATTGCTTTGTGGTTTTGTATATATTGTATGTTTGGACAATTGTTGTTCTTGGTACACTTGTTTGTTTTACACTTGCATTATACTAATAATAGTGTGACCTGAGTCTCTTAGGGGTGAATGTTACAGCAGGACTCTCAATCAATACTCACCTGAGTAACCAGAGTCTTTCTCAGAGCAGCGGGAGTCACGTCCATATGTTTCCTTTTCAGTGTGTGCTCTTGCTCTAGATGCCAAAAGGGCGGCACTGTTGCTTTTGTCCTTATCATTTTTACTGGCTGGACGAAAGGTGCGTTCCCTCTCCCCTACACACCCTTGGGCATCTCCTCTCGGTTCCTTGGGCATCCCGGGCCCTGGGAGCAGAAATACACAGCTGGGCAGACAGTGACCTCATCCAGAATGTATTTACCCATTTCTAACATGGAGTTTGTTCTAAAGGTTCTTACATACAAACATGTTTGGTCAGGAGCAGTAATAACACCTATGCCCACAAAGGGTTGTCTAGAGGAGAATTGTTTTTGTTTTTTTAAATAGGTAGCAAAAAAAAGTAATGATTATGTATATTGTGTTCTGAAGCTGCTAATAGGCTTTTAAAGAACACTTACATTTATGCAAATTGTAAATTCAAAACACAAGGTACACATTTTGTCACTAGTAGCGTTTTTTCTGAATGGCCAGCCTTTTCTGTAGTGACCATTAAAGTGTATTCAATGCTACTGCACAACATGTAGCCTTTTTCTAAATGAAGGTCACTTTAGTACATACATTATGCATATATGTATACACTGAACTCACTGCTAATACACAATTGTTTATTGTAATTATTGTAATGTCTTCTCGTTGACCAACATTTCAGACACACATAGGCTTCTTGATACAAATACCTTTTTACCAGTAGGCTATGTTAATTTACATGGGACTGCATGAGACCTGTGCTTATATATTTTAGGGAATTTTATAGAATAGATACTTCAGCTATACAACAGATACTTCCAACTCTAACTCTGAATGGATTGATTGTGGTTGCTGCTGTAATGCTACGTTTATGCCATGTCGTAATTACCGTAATTTCTAGATGACAACACGTGAGGTTCTATTCGGAGCTGTTCACGTCCACGGACTGGGAATTACGCATTTCTATGGTCAGGTGGTACAAGTAAGAGCGCTCGGAAAATTCCCAGTTTACAGGTTGTACTCCGGGCAAAGACGTGAACGCTTTTTACAAATTGGAATCTTGTAATTACGGTAGTTACGACATGGCTTGAGGGCACCTTAAAATGCTGCTAAAAACTGTCATCTTTGCTCATTAACACTCATGAGTTCTGGGATAATTTGTCATGATCGAGATCTCTTGTCAAAAGCAGAAAAATTTAGAAAATCCATTTCACACTTTTAAGAGACCTAAAAAAATGTGTCATTGCCTCTGCATCTACAACATATTCATCACAAATATTTCATCATATTTATGTACATGTTGACCGGGAAAATAAATATATATTGTCAGAACATAGTTACGTTTGAATGCAGAAAAATGATTTTTGCCGTCATGGTGTAGTTCTGGCATCTACCAGCAACCAGCCAATTCCATAACGCATTTTGGGTATGGCTACTGTTGAAGAAGAACAGTGATAAACCTTGCCAGAAAAGAAAACTACAGCATGTGAATGATAAAATCTATAACGCAAAAATGTAATTAATTAGCTCTAATGCTTAATCATCATTTTGCATTAGTGCTCAAATCTGTAAAATATTAAATAGGAAATTTTAAATATGTCCATCTATGTTATGGCTGCTACGTTATGACCAAAAACGAGGCATATTAATACGCAAAAAGTTGCGACGTTGATTGGCAATCATTTACCATACAGCCTAGCCTACTTTATACTAATGCACAATCAATGGCTGGAGAATTTTATAACTAGCCTATTTTAGTGAACAATATGCTTTGTCATAATGCTATTCTTTCGGTTCTATAACGACAATAAGCCACTAAATTCCGAGATTTTAGCCATTGGTTTTGCTTTAGTGACTTTTGTCCTAACCTGACCCTAAATCGGGAAAAGTTACACTAAAATAGTCGATTCGGGAGTGATTGAAGAAACAGAGAAGCTCTAATTATTACATTAGCCTACCCCATCTCTCATGTAAAACAACTGTCAACATACCCTGACTTTATGCGTCGTTATTACACACATTTCAATATAAATATATAAATCATTGCAATAGTATAGGCTAAGATGTTCCAAAAAAAAAAAGGGGGAAACAAAGTGATATATTTTGTACAACTCTGTAAATTATCATGAGCAATACAAAATAGTTTCATAGTTCTTGCTTTGGTCTGTGGCGTGGCATGAATTATCCTGCCAGGAGGAAGGTTATTTATTTTAGACACAAACAATTCACACACACACACACACACACACGCGCGCGCGGAGCTCTGAGCCCTCCCTTCCCCTGACTGTTATGTAATATTACAACAGCCGAGCTCAGTCTCCACTTCCTCCTGTTGACACCACATACACCGTTAAAACAACGTGCTTTACTTAGACAACCTTTAGCCTATGTGCAAATAAAGCTGGAGCTTAATGCCAAAGGGTAATAAAATATACACCCAAAGAGACCTAAAAGACATCATCTGTTTGCAGAAAACTGACATATAAATAACACACCAGTATTGCCTACCTTAGTAATGTACAATGCTGGTCCCGAGTGTTCGTCTCTTCTCCGTCCAGGGATACACACACTCCTAACTACCTGTCCAGGGACAATCTGTGGCTCCCGTCATCTCGCTGACATGGATGATGACCACCCAGTGTGAGCGAGCCACATTACCTTTTGCTGTACTTTTTTCTGATGGTCTTCAGCTCGGGTTGGTTAAACCTCCTCCAGCCCCGTACGTCAAAATTGCCGAATGACAACTCCACCTGCAGTAACCCCCGCCCTGCCTAATCGGAGCCCGCCCACTCGAGTGATTGACATTTGACCGGGCCAATCGTGGCAAAGGGATTCCGCCATATCTCGCCCCGAGCACGAGTGACGCAGGGGAATATGTGGCATGGCCAATCCTGTGAGCAGGCACGTGGAGAGGAGGAACGAGACGGTATGACAGCACGCAACTGAAGTTACGGACACGAAACATAACCAGACGGAGGAGTGGCGAAGAAAGAAACGACGCATGTAGATTTGGCTGTCCATGTGTTCGATATTTTGTAATCCTGACCACTGACTATGTGTTGAGTAAAATAGCCTACGGAAAGCATTTAACACGTATCTTTGCAGGTCAAAGTGTGAATATTACAGCTTTATATTTGACACTTTTCTTTAGTTTTATAGGCTACCTACCTTCATGTAGCCTAATTTGTTGGAACGCACGAATTGTGCGATTAAATGCTGCTAAGTGGTTTACACAAGATGATTTTTTCTTTCTTTCTGATTTCTTTTCTTTTTTTCTTCTTGCTTTAACTTTAGTAGGCTAGATGTGGTCCCAATATAAGCTTTATATGATGCAAATATTGAATTTAGGCTTTTATTCACATATTAACATTCATCAACTCACACATAGTAAACGGAAGCTCAAGCATGTTCACTTGACATGCGAGAAAGAGGTTCATTCTCGTGGGACAAAAAGCGGCCAGACCTCATTAAAAAGATCTTCATTTGTGTTCCGAAGATGAACAAACGTCTTACAGGTTCGGAACGACATGAGGGAGAGTATGACAGAATTTTCATTTTTGGGTGAACTAATTTACTAGTGTTTCTTTAAGAGTGTAGCTAGTGCAGATTTACATGATTATGTTATATTTTATGGTTTCATGTTGTCTCTTTTTTTTTTTTGCCATGCAGCGTTTAATTATCTATTTCAGGTTATGTTTTAGCTTCTATTTTGAACAATGTAATTAAAAATAAATAATTTTACAAAATTCAATTAACTCACAATTAATAAAAAATAACAAATCCCCATTCAATTTACTCACAATTAATAAAACAATCCATATAAGGTTATGGTTGTCATAATATGCATTTTCCCCTCTATCATTTGTGGGTGCATTTAGAGACATATTTTGTGTTACTGGCACATAATTCGATTGTGAAAGGGAGACTGACCCGCATATTTCATTGACTGCCCGTATGTTTCACACGTTACAGACTAAACTATAGAGCAAAACTCCCGGGAAACCAAGCAGCGCAGGGGAAATGTTTCGCTCCGTGAAATCTCCTTGTGCCCCACACGCGCCTCTCAAATGTGTCAGTTTTCGAGCGCTCAGCTGTTCTACTACAGCGCCACGTGGTTTTTCACAGAGCTCAATGACGCCGCGCGCTCGGGTCAGCCAATCGGCTGCGCGGGTGTGCGCGGACATGTGAGAACGAGAGTAGAGGAGCTGCGCGCACATGTTCTGTGCACATGCGCTCGTTGACAAATTTGCGCTCGGCGTCATAAATAGAAAAGAAAACACAGCAGAGTTGCCATATCCGTTTTTTACCGGCGTAATTAAGCTATTTTGGAACTATTCCTCCAGTTTGAGGGTTTGACATTTCGCTTACAAAGCAGATTAATCACGTAGCTATTAAATATGTGCTGCTGTTGTATAGAAATGATTTACGATCAGCAGATTGAAGAGGTCAAGGCAAGCACAGCCTACTTACCGCACCCCTAATGCTTTCAACAAACTGAATACAGATGTGTCAGCAAAATCTAGCCAATACATGAAATTAGCACAAGGCAATTTTTAATTCCCTTTATTAATTTGAATTTAGTCCCTTTCAATACAATAGTGATGTGATTTTTCTAAATGTTTTGTTAGCTTCATATTTTAATAACTGAATCCACAACAATGCCTTTTACATGCAGGCAGATCTGGCAACTCTGCACATGATGTCCCTGCTGAGAGTCATGTGAGAAGGAGTGCACTGAACCTCCTACACGGATTTAGAGGGGGGGGGGGGGGGGGGGGGGGGGACATGTTTCATTTTATATGACACGAAGCATGTATGGAATCCCAATGCAGTTTTCCAAAACATTTTTATTTTTTTACAATGGAAAGCACAAATTTTCAAAAACCGTTAAAAACAGTAACCGTTTCAAAGTGCTTTAATTTAATAAGACACCCCAACATCTATTCCAGTTTATAAAGTTCACACCATATCATTGAGAAACACTTAAAAGCAACAGACATAAATACACATTTCTTTTTTTTTATCCTTTTACATCAAGGTGACATAAGATTACTATAAAAAGTTACAAAAAAACAACAACAATTCAGTCCAAAAAGAGTAACCAGCTCTCCTACAGAGGTATTTTGAAGTTCACTGATGTCCAGTGCAACACAATCCTCACGACGTTTACTTCCCTCCCCAGAGGAGCAGTGCTATACAGCGGTCCTGAACGGCGACGCTTCCGGCCTCCTCACCGGTGTTGATGGAGCGTCACGTCCGAGGGCACGACAGGCCCAGTAAGCCAGGGGCGGCCTTCAGGGCAGGGTGCATGCTGACATAGAGGGTTTGTATAGTGGAGAACTTGATGAAAGTGGCACGGGTCTCACGAGTGTGTGCTCTCGCTGCTGCCATGGCCATGATCTGCATTATACTGAGGAGAGCTGCTTCACTGCCTCAGAAATAGTGGGGAGGGACGAAAAAAAAAAAAAAAAAAAGAAAAAAAAGACACCTTAGCAAGATTTATTAAATCAAATTTGAACATCTTTCTGCTTTTTAAATTGCGGATTTTAATTGTATGAAAGCATCAAATAGAATTTGACAATTTAATAACTGACAAAATAAGGATTTAGAAGGGAAAAGGTTCTCTTGAAATGATCCCATTATTCTTAATCATTTTAAATGTTTTTGAAAGTCTTATACTTATTGATCAAATGTGCTTGGATAGCATTTTTTTCCTACCATTTAAAGATTTTAAAATCCAATTTATTCCTGTGATAATAAAGCTGTATTTCCAGCATCATTACTCCAGTCTTCAGCTTCACATAATTGTTCAGAAATCATTCTAATACGCCGTTTTGGCGCTCAAGAAACATTTATCAAATGTTGAAAACAGTTTTTGCTTTTTAATATTTGTGGAAATATTCAAAAGTTTATGCAGTAAATTGAACTTTCTTTTTAAAGAATGCAGGAAAAAAAATGCTGGAAATTCAGCTTTGCCATATAAAAACTACATTTTAAAATAAAAAAAAGTCATTTTAAAACTTAATTTTACAATATTTATTTTACTGCATTACATGAGGGGAGCATAAGACACTTAAATATAATAATAATAATAATAATTCAGTATAGTTTTATTTAATTCCATGTCAGCATCTGTGGCTATCTTCACTGCAAAAACTGAATTACAAAAATACAAGTCACATGTTCACAAAAATAAAAATCAAGCAAACAGAAAGAAAAACGGTAATTAATATACATGATTTTTAATAATAATAAAGTTTTAAAATTACTACTACTACAAACGTTTGACTGGTAGTGTTAATCACTGGAGTCTCTTAAGGTCCTTTTCAAAACAATGTTAAAGGGTAAAGTTTAAATCTCCCAGAAATCGATCTTAACACCAACACCACAACTGTGAGCAGCACTAAAGGGCTATTCTCCTGACCTTCCTTTATGGATACTGGAGGCAATGCACCAGGCCGTCTCTCCATCTGGAGTGGGAGCTTCCTGGAGGATCCTTCGGGCCAGTCGGAGGGCAGCACCAGCCAGCTGAGCGGGCAGAAACACCACACACTGCCCCTCCAGGAGCGACAGCTCCAACAGGTACCGGGCCATCCAGACCCACTGAACAAACCATTTAGGAACACATTTGTAAGAGTTTTTGCTATTCTATTTGGTCCTACTTCAGCTTTAACAATGACATTATTAGCTCAAGTTTAAGAGTAAACTGACCTTGTCGCTGCAGCGCGCAATGGAAGCAGTGATAAGAAGAAAGTGAAGTGGGAGACAGTAATAGAGATCAAACTTGAGCCCAGTTAAAACCCTCCTCTCCATCCGTAGCAGTTGTTTCTTACTGTAGGCATTCTCCATCAGATAGCAGAGCTCTGAAACCTGACAAACATCGACACCTTAATAGTGTCGAGATCAGTGTTAAAAATAAGTTTAATGGAGATGTGAAGTATACCTCTGGTAATAGACATTCCTCTTTTTTGGCAGCCAGAAAGAGGCAAACCACACCCAGCAACTGCAGGCCGGAGATGGACACTTTGATGAGCCTTAGCGCTCGATTCAGCAGGTGTACTGCCAGATACAACGTTTCCTCGGAGAAATGAAACACTTCCTGAGGTGAAAACAAGTGTCCATTATGCAGTAAAAAAAAAAAAAAGAAGTGCATTATACATTTCAGGTCGAAATTTTGTAATAAAAGGTTCATTAATGTTTTAGAAAGCAGTTGCATGCTAATCCAAGCCTTGCACTTATTTGATAGAAAAGTTATTTTAGACTATGGTATTACTTTTTTTTTCTAGAAATGTCATTTTTACCTGTGAAGACTGATAGAAAAGCTGAATTTTCAGCATCATCACTCCAGTGTCACATGATCCTTCAGAAATCATTATTTGGTGCTCAAGAAACATTTATTATCATAATCCTGTATTGAATAGTTTTTGCTGCTTAATATTTTGTGGAAACCATGATACACTTGAAATGTTCAGGGCCAGGATTTATTTATTTATTTTATTTATTTTTTTAAATCAGGAATCAATATTTTTATTGAGCAAGGACATTAAACTGACCAAAAGTAACAGTAAAGAGGTTTATAACATTAAAAACACCTCTATTTCAAATAAATTGTTTTTTCACTGTAAAAAAAAAAAAATTCAATAAGTTATGACGACATGTTTTTACATTGCTTTAACTCAATAAGTGAAGCAATTTTAGATTATAGCAAAGTTAATTATAATTGAAGATTATTCAAGATTAAACAAATTTTAAGTTGATTTTACTTAAGGCATCAACTTTTTTTCTTTCTTTTTTTACAGTGTTTGAACTATTCAAAGAATAGTTTCCACACAAATTTTAAGCAGAAAAAAAAAACTGTTTTTCCAACAATGATAAGAACCATTAATAGAGCACCAAACCAGCATATTAAAATGATTTCTGAAAGATCATATGACACTGAAGTAACAGCTGCTAAAAATCCAGCTTTGCCATCATAGGAATGAATATGAATACATACAATAGAAAACATTACTTCTAAAATTGTGTTACTGTTTTTACTGTATTTGATTAAAATCCAGCCTTGGTGAGCATTTGAGACTTTTCAAAAGTAATTTTAAATAATTTAAATTGATTATTAAATATATAATTAGTCTAGACTTTTGACCAGTAATATAAAGAACACAATTAGGATAACACGCCCAACTCCTATATAATATATAATCCGCCACGCTATTAGGATTACATAGCTAATTTCCCCTCTCATTCATGAATAGAAAAGGAACAAATAGGTCATACTTACAAATTTGCATCTATTGCACTTACATGGACTTGAGTTAGCCAGTCAACCAAAATAGCTCTGGTAGTGTCAGTGAAAGGCTTGGGCAGGTCAGCGTTTGGGAGCGTGCATAGTAGCTGACTTCTCTGTAACCAGAGGGAAAACACAACAACATGACCACAGTGAAGGGAAACCAACAGTAGCCTACTTTGCATCGTACCCTCACCATCATGTCTAAAAAGATGTCCCATGCGTAGGTCTGGTCATAGAGGAGTCCCAGCTTGCTGATGGCTACCTCCACCTCTCTGCGCAGAAGTCCGGGCATCAGTTCCCGCAGACTTGGTGGACCTGGCAACCTGTTCAGATACTGCAGCAAAGCCTCCTCTTCATAGACATCTAGCATGGTCACACAGGATTGATACATGTTTAACTGAAAGTCTATAAACCTTCTGCATTTCAGAACACTGTAGTGAACTATAATGAAATTAGTAGTGCATTCAAATGAAGGCACCTGCACTACAGTCATCCATGACCATGGAGGGATAGAATTCTAGCAACCACCCAGAACCTAGCAACTACAAAGCAACATTGTGGTAGCAAGTTTTACACGGATAAATGCAAAAATCTAGTTGGCATTTTTAACGCACATAAAAATGGCAAGTTAATGAAGTCGCTGCATTTGCATGAATTAAATTGGGCCTCTTGCCTGACGACCTGAGGTGTCAAAACATTGTAGTTGTTGGATTAAATTAAGCATTAACATCAGCGCATGGACATTTGCTCTTTTGTTGCATTGTGTCCTGCAGCAGTAACTTGGGTTAAGGGCCGATTGACTTTCATTCACACGCATACGAATGCATGGGAGCGGAAACGCAAGCTCATGCGAAGGGTTCCAAATTTCGCTCCGTTCCAAAGTTCAGGTTTGGTGAACTCTGCAAATTCATATGTGAAACCGTGTGACCAACAGAAGATCAATAAGTCAAGGCATGACCTCGTAGCTGAATAAAAAGAGAAAATTGAAAAAAACTGCAGCATTGTAGGAAAGTGGACTAGATTGTATAATCTTCATTATTATTTGTTATGCGTTGAATTTATGTTTTTAAAAAGACGCTGCATATGACCATTGCAAGATTTCGTATGTCTAGTGTGACATGACTTTAGATTTGGCACACTAAATTGAGAAAAAAAATGTATCCAATCATGGACTTCGACTCTAAAGCAGCATCGAACATGCCATTTCATGTCACCTGAAATTGATTCGTCTTGAGGAGCATAGTCCATTATGATCCCATCCTCTGCGGAGATGGAAAGCCTTCGAACCTTGAGAAATTGCAGAATGGTGAGGAGAACACATCATTTGAAGAACCACATGTCTACCAGGGTGATTTTCTATCCATTACATGCAGAGAAGGTTACAAATTATTGCATTAATCTGGCACATAAAGACATACGGCAGCAGACGTCTTCACCCCTGCTCCTGGAGATCCACTGTCCTGGAAACTTTATTCCCAACCTGCTTCAGCACACATGCTTGTGTATCTTCAAGCCACCCAGAAGAGCTTGATTGCATGTCCTGATTTTGCAGAGTTGTTGATCCTGGAACATTCCTGGCTGAAAATTTTATCCGTACCCCTAAACCTCATGCTACCCATAACTTATCCCTAAAATCATAGGTGAACACTACTGATGTAGAAGCACCTAACCCTGGTTGTAAGCCTAAACTTGACAAACTCTGAACTTGTCTTGATTGGAACGCTGTTCCAGGATCCAAAGATGTCGATCCAGGAACATGTTCCACACAGTGATTGACTTGATAAGCTGCTCCGGATGTGTTTGATTGGGGTTGGAACCAGGGGCGTCACTAGGATTTTCATTTTTGGGGGGCTAAGCCCCCAATATGATTTTTTTTTTTTTTTATAAAAAAATGTAACACTTTAGTTTAGGTTCTAAAGATCACTATTAACCATTTTCATTACGATGCAAAGGCACGGTTTTATAATAACTGTGGTCCCTAATGTGCGGTAGGGAAAATAGGGGGGTTCGGGGTCTCCCCGAGAAAATTGATTTCTCTGATCTACATATGTGCATTTTAAGATGTTCTGAAGGCCAAAAAACTTGGATAGTGGGCAGCTGATTATTTTTCTCTCCTCATCAGCATCACACTCTTTTTCTCTTTGTTTTTCTCTTGCCCTGTCTCTTCCCCTCCTAAAGCTGAGCTTTGACTGATATAGGCTTTTCATTTTTGTCTGTCAGTGAAGAAAGTAAACATAGGGTCAATTGATAGGTTGATTTTGCCTATGAATCATTTTCTCAGACGCGTTTATTTACTGAAAGCTACTTAAGGTAATTAAGTTTATTAAATGCATTCACAATGTAGGCTACACATTTATTATTGATCTTATGCCTAATACAGGGCCGTAGACAGGGCTTTAGTCACAGAGGTCCTAAATTTGAGGTTGGTAGGGGGTTCACATTTTTTATTTCTCTGATATGTGCATTTCAAGACGTTTGAAGACCAAAAAAGGATAAGAAATAGCTTTAAAACCATGTCAGTGGGCAGATTATTTGTCAATACCTGCTCTCTTCTCATCTCCATCACTCTTTCTTTTTTTCTCAGTCTCTTCGTCCCTTTCTCTTCCCCTCCTAAAGCTGAGCTTTTTTAATTTACTAAAGGCTACAATTTGTATTATATCCTCAATATGTACACATTCATTATTAATCTTGTGCCTAACATGATGAAAACGGCTTTGTTAATGTTTCTTGTAAACTAATTATTACATTACATGAGTCACGTTACAGCCTATTTTCAGTTCAAAATGGCGAAATTAGACAAAACTATATTAGTTTGCCTGATTATTTTTTGTCATTCGTTTAACATTTATGACCTAAAAAAAGTAAAATATGAAATGTTAAGTTTAGCTACTTACATCTTATCTCGCACTTTACCGTACGCGTCGAGTCGCACTGTTAAAATTCGCGCTCAGCAGCGTCTGTGAACATAAAGCCCGCCTACTTTGATTTGATTGGTCATCTCAAATATTCTGACATTGACGAGCAGTGACAGACCAATGAGGCTCAGATGAACACACATGAACACACACACACACACCCTGTCCTCTGTTTCTGACGTGCTCTCTGTCGGCGCCGCTGCGGATTGAAGATGAAGAACGCGCTGAATCTGATTATAACAAGACTGAAGCGAACACGAATTTGTGTAGCCTACATTAATCTCACATTTTTAGGGGGGCTAGGCAGAAGTTTAGGGGGGCTGAAGCCCCCCTAAAAAGGGCCTAGTGACGCCCCTGGTTGGAACTAAACTCTAGGACAGTGGGTCTCCAGAAGCAGGGTTGAAGACCTCTCACATAAAAGGTGTAGTTACCCATCGACTCTCCTGGGCAGGTTTGCAGTGCTGCCCTGACCCAACCTCATCTCCTTCAGCAAACACCCTGCGCTCCCTCAGAATACAGGAGTTTGCCCACACCCGCAGAGGCGCTTGTCTGTCCTCAGTCTTTCAAAGCACAAAACGATTTCACTTATTCACAATAGGTTAAAGCATTTACCACCTTAGAGTAGCAGTCTTTCAATCCAAATGTACAAGATCTGTATGAATCCAAAGACAATCAGTTTTTAGTCCTAAACTCTGGGGGATAATCAGCATGGTACAATCAGCAATCAACATGGCAGAAGGAATCTGCAAGTTTTCAATTATGAGCAAAGTAATGTCTGTGGATAATCCCACACGAAGAGATTTTATTTGACAAAAAAAAATGGCTATATACTTAAATGTGAATTCTGAAACCCGTGGTCAATTGAGCTACTCGCATTTTTCAAAGGACACAACACAGTCTCATTTGAGGTGTAATTGTACAACAAATGGTTTCTTCAAGGAATGTTTACCACAGACCTCATTTTATGCAAATGTCACATGGAAATATATTTTGGTCAACCCGAGTATGCCTTTAGATATCAAGAATGTAGTTGATACTGGTGAACTTGTAGTTTCCTCTGATCAGGTAAAAAGGTTTTACTGGTCACATGTTGGCCATTATTCACTATACACAAGAAGTCTAGGAATTAAAAGAGAGATTTTACAGGCATTCTCACCATATGGAGGTCCAACAGTTGCCTGGAATCACAAAACCCAGTCCGAGCCATGATTCACCTGGACACTGCAGCTACCTTCACACACTGTTCACTGACACACAGCATCAGCTAATTAACACCAGTGCCACTAATAAAGCTTACTAATTGGCCCGTCATTAAGCCCCGCCTTGTGTTACTAGCTTGCTCTTGTCATGCAGGTTTGAAGTGTGTGGTTGGGTAAATTTGGAGTCAGATAGAAATTGTCCATATAAGAGTTGCTATGACTCTTTTCCCCAAACAAACACACATTGTCACCATAACATTTCTCCAAGATTAATTACATAATTAAAATAATATAATTTGTTTACATAAAAAAATAACTTAAACATTACATTAAAATTAAACTAATATAGTTACATGAACTGAACATTGATTTAATCCTGTTCATATGGTGGTCCATATTCACAGAATGAGTCTGGTATGTTTGTGTTAAGAATGTTCTAGTGGTCACCACTGGTTTATTTTAAATTAATTTCAGTGTCAGTAGTGACAAGTTTATAGCCTAATCCCTTTGAGAATTGCAACGATTGCTCATAATAACGTTGCATTTGTAGACAAACATAATCTGACTAAACTATAACACAAACAATTGTATTTGTCACATTTTTATCAAATACATTGAGGGTACGTTTTCACGATAACAATGTACAAAAAACGTAATGTTTTTCCATGGTATTTTTCACGTTGTCAAAAACAATCCCGTTACACAGATCCGTGAAAACGATTAAAAGCGCTGTATTATTCATGGCAGGCCAGTAGTTGGCGATGTCACTTTAAAGAAACACTATAGACTGAACACATAATACAAATGTACAAATTCGCTTTTTGTAGGCCTATTTTACACAGAGACGATAACAGTATCGTTTTGAAACCTGGGGCCTATACCATGAAGCCGGTTTACTTAAAGGTGGCTAGCCAGGTATGTTTCAGTTTAGTTTGCGCCAACCCTGGGTTTGGTTTTAGGCACCATGAAAGTGGTTTGGCTTTTAGCAGTGTTCATCGCATTCGCCATAGTAACTGCTCCATGGCTAACCTGGTGCGGGTCAGGTTATGTTCCAAGAGGTTGCAAACCGAACTTGGACCAATCAGCTGTGAGCAAAGGATGAAGTCACTCCTCCTGTTTCTACTCCAAATTAATGTTCACTACATCGCAAATGATTTTTAAAGACGAAATTGACTGGCTTTTACTAATGCTTATTTAGAATAATAATTTTGTATGATTTAGATATAAGATATAGGCTACCCTTAATCGATCGACATGTACAATTTTAGTTTATCAATTATTATTACGCAGTTTAAATAAATAAATATATGAAGGTAATATAAATACACTTTAGAATCAATAGATAAAGCTATATAATGACTACATGTGAGCTTAAATGTTCAATTCTCTCTATACCTTTATCAACTGTATAAATTAACTTCACAACTTTTACTTGCACTGATATAGCAATACTTTTTATTTTAGTTGTCCTCTTTCATAGACAGCTATTCTTCTTGCTGTGTAAATTTGTTTAAATTCTTAATATTTTTCAATCTTGTAATGTTCTGCAGAAGAGAGAAGTGAATTGCGCTGCTTCTCTCAGAGAAATGAATCACAGTTTCACTCTTTCTCAACATGTGATTGGCTGTTCGCTACTGATGTCACTTCTAAACTCAGGATCAAAGCCTGAGTTGACAGAGAAAGGTGATGATCAGCATCATGGTACCAACAAAGCCTGGTGATTGGTTTGATTTTGTCAACTCGAAACTAATCCTGTAACCCTGAGTTTGTTTAACTACCATCCTGGTACAGGCCCGTTTTCAAAAGTTAGCATTTTCAGGTCCCCAAAACGCTGTCGTCGTGTAAATGAACAGCCAAAACTCATAAAAAGTTTTCAGTTTAGTTTTAAATGGTGTCTTGCAGACAGCCCTTGAGAGTAATCATTCCCAGAGTAAGTGAATTCTTGAATTTAGCAGCTTGTCAATCCTCCTTTAGCAGCACAAGCTCCACCAAATGTTTCCTGTCGCAGACTTTTGAATCGCAAATCAGTTTAGCAGTATTTCTGGGTTGTCTTGATAGCACAGTCCTCTTTAGGTTATACCACAGCATATCGGGACACGACACGTTTTCTTCTTTTTCCACCATCTTTTGTCTTTGGGTTATTTCTCACATCTTTCAGGATTGCCTGTCTTTGCAGGATGTCCTTGATTTCTCTTGCGAAGAACACATTTGTCAGTAAACCAGGCATTGTGTGCCTTTATTTAAAGGGCAGGGCACCTGTGCGACCCACACTTCCAATCTCATCTTCTTAACTGATTTCATAGCTTTTGCAGAAATTGTACACATACAGGGCAAATTGATGTGCTTGTAAAACACCTCTAAGCATTTTTTTTGTTTGTTCAATTATATGTTTTGGATGACTACTGGAAACATTTTTGACGACTATGCATATAATTACAGCATATATACCCATATGTTATTTGATAACTCATGAAATAATTCACTTATTTTGATTCTTCATGTTTTCTAAAGAAGACTTAATGGGCCCATTTGTGCAGATCAATAGAACAGATCACAGCAAATAGTATGTAATGCTACCAAGATGTGATTATTGTGCATGTCATTCCAAACCTGTATGACTCGCATTCTTTTGCAGAACATAAAAGATGATATTTTGAAGAATGTTAGTAGCCACAGTTTTGGTGACCATAGACAATATGGGGGAAAACCCCCGATATCACTGAAACAAATGTTATGTTCCACTGAAGAAAAAGTCATACCGCTTTGGAACAACGTGACTTAGTAAATGATGAGAGAGAATTCATTTTTGAGTAAACTATCACTTATTTAGGTTTAAGGTTTAGGGTTAGAGGTTAGTATTTGTTGTGTGGGAAATCAGCACCGTGATGGGCATGACCAAAGAAATCTTTCAAATCAGCTGCGATTCCAAGGCTCTTCATTGTCCAGGACAATATTTAAATACCCATAGGCCTATAGGTTATTATACTGGAGATGTAATGACGACTGTCAGTAGATTTTTATACAATAAGCAAATTTATGTTTAATATAGAAATGTACATAATCTTTTATATTTTAAACCACACATTTCAAATGACAAGTTTGCCATGATAGTGAAACCCTTCTTAAAATTTAGTTGGTGACAAATTAAAATAAGAATGACAAGTTTACATTTTGATATTTTTGTTTTACTTCGCTTGTCTAGTCTTATTTTAAATACATTTATGGCATCTTACGGCCCCGTAGTAAACCCCCGTCCGCTGGATGAGCGCCACTCCTCTACAGGAACACCCACCAAAATATCACTGGTTTATAAACGGAGAGTTCCAGTCCAATCAGACGCAAAAACTATGAAAACTAAACTAACTTTTTTTAAATCATTTTGAAGATATTAAGGTGTATTTTATCTCCATGTACAATTCAAATGAATACTTTTGAAAAAAAAAAAATGTTTGAAGTATAAACGTCTTCAATAAGATAAATATTTGAATACTTTTGCTGTCCACTAGGTTAATTTCACACACTGTTTGGGTTAGTAAAAGAGGCAGACATACAGTTTTTGGTAAAAGAATTTACTTGCATGAATGTCCTAATAGCAAAGCATAACCCATAGCACTCTGTAGCAAAAAAAAAAAAGAAAAGAAAAGTTTGCTGACATATTTCAAGTTTCCCCTAACGTTTGCATCCCCAGCACTAAAAAAAAAGCAAACTGTGCATCAATGATGACATTCGTGATTGTTCATCACATTCAGAACAGAACAGTCGATGGTTAAAAGTTGCAAAATAATTTCACTTCAAAGCTGATTTGTCCAACAGGTAGGTATATACACACACAAGAAAGATGGGTGAAACCACTACAGCAGACCAGTTCAGATCTTTGCCCCTCATGTCTCACCCAAAAGTTTTTCTTAAAAACTGTATTTGAGCATCATTAATGGTGTGAACGAGAGTGCACAATTGTTATTCATGTACGGAGCAATGTATTATTTAATGAGACAGGCAAATGGCACCATCTAGCGGTCTCTCTCGGTCAAGGCAACGAGGGCTGTTTCAAAACCTAGACGGGCAATCGGGCATGATGCGTTTAAGACCCGTAGAAGCACTTCAGTTCGGCCCTGCTGTTGAAACCAGTGGACCTTCCTGTATGAGTAAGTCTATGGAGGAGGGATGGTAATATATATCATGTTTAAACAAGAAGGATCGTCATATCTTAAAGGAGGTTTTTCATTTCCCGTTGCAAATATATACTGTGACTACCTTATTACACACCCACACATGCACAAATGAAGCACACACTCACACAAAATGGAAAAATGGACAAAAGAAACGAACAAACAAAAAGAAAAACTTTACTACTGTAATATATATTTTATATATATTTTATGAAGACAATTTAATTTCAGGGAGTAGGTGAATGGAACAAAAATATGAAGGAAAAAAAAATGATCCAAATAAAATGATGAATAAAATAAAAACAAAAATAGTTTGATGTTCCTTACATGAAGAATCTTTAAAAAGGCAAAAGAAGAAAATAACACCTCACACATCTAAGCGGTGTGTTGTGACAGCTTCTGTCTGGAGAAGCACGCCTACCTTACACATCTGGAGATCAAGTAGAACATTTCCTCTCAGACATCCTAACCATTTTTTTTTCTTGCTGCACTAATAAAAAATAAAAAAAGGAGAAATGAAAAAAGTGTCAAGGCTGCGACAACAATGGCGTGGCACGCAGGTACGCGTTTCCACCGTTTGCTACTTTAAGCAGTCAGGCACGCTGACGCAGTAGCTATTGCAGTTAAATAACAGGACAAAGGACATTTAAATCCTCTTTTTTTTCTGGTTGTTGTTGCCTGTACATTTGTCTCTAAACTTCAACATCAATGCCTGCGAAACTGTTGAGAGAATGAAAACAACATGATGGAGAGTTTCTATGATACACTGACCTTGGAACATCAAGCCTCTGGGGCAGCGGATGAAAACTGGAAAAAGGCCTCTCCAGAAAGCCGGTTTCAAGGTTCCCGCTTGGGGAGGAAACC